CTGTCAGGTGGACTCAGCTTTAACTGGGATACCGATTGGTCTATAAAACAAAGATCTAGTCCTGTGTGCTCACTACGTTGAAGGATCCTTACTTTACTTTTTTGTTTGGAATGATTGATATTAGGTCAAGGCTGATGCTGCTCCACCCAAAAGCTGTATGTATTTCACTGTCAAAATACTAGGGGGCTGCGTGGTCTCGAGACATGGTGTCCGCCTCGAGTGCTAGAGGTTTTGGGTTCAATCCCCGGTAAGGACTGGGACTTTTTCACGTGAATTTGGTCTCTGGGTAGTGAGATCGGACGCTTTTGGGCATTGTTGGCACGTAAAAAAAAAAATCCCTTGGCCTTTGGAAATCAAAAAAGAGCCGCCTGATGGCGCTGCCCGAGCAAAATTTGGAGTTAAAAATCTACCCCCGTGGAGTGCTACAGAGCTACACTGTGCTGAGCTTCTTCGGACTCAGACTTAAGTTAGAAGAAGAAAGGACTACCCGTGTGCCATGATGTTGATCCGTTATTCAAACCTCAAACCTCAAACCCCTAAGGTACAGGTAATATATGAAGAGCAACAATATTTATACTTTGGATTTCAGATTTTCTCTGCTGGGCACCAATAGCTTTCTTGTCACTGGCGGCAGCTTTTGGTAAAAATCTCATACATCTTAACGAAGCCAAGGTTTGATTTTTTGTTTCCCTCTAGCCTTTTGTGTTTCTTTTCTTGTTTATTGTACACCAGCGGCTTGCGTCAGCTGATAACGACTCACATCAGAAGCACATTATGGATTTTCTTTCCAGGATATTCGGGTGTGCAGGATATTGAGCACACTGATGGATTGGCTGCTACCGCACTTATGGACGGGGAGCTACTTTATGATAAAATGGGCTTTGTAAAGGCTCACTACGATCAAATAGACAGTGCAGTAGATCAGACAAAGAAATATACATTTTAGTATTCATTCACTGGGGGGGGGGGGGGGGGGTGAGCAGAGGTTCTGGAAGACATTCAACACTGAAGGGGAGACATACACGGACTTTCAATCAGGTTACAACTGGCACTGTTAGTATGTCGATACTTCATTGGCTACTAAGGAAAGAGATGGAGCACGTCTGGTAATGTCGCGAGTGCAGTGATGTAAATTCTTGATTCATTTCATTCATTTATTCATTCATTCATTGTACGCTGTTTTCTCCTGTCACTGACTACTCAGATGAACATACATCTGGGGTAAAAATAATGTAAAATATTCAAATCAAGGTAACGTAAAACAGGCATGTTAAATATGCGGCTCGTGGCCCGCATGCGGCTCTTTGCAAGTGCATCTGTGGCCCGCAAAAGGATTCATATGCTGGCAAAAATTTCATTACAGTTTTTTAATAAATCAAAGCAATGTTTTCACGTTATAAATTTGAAAAAAAAAAATTTTAAGATTTCCTGAAGCCGCTGCGATTTGCCACCTCCGCCCTGAATTTGGTAAACAAACAGACATGAAAACAGGCAGTTGTTTTTGACTGTTAATTTTTACTTCAGATATAAAAGATTCACTTATTTGCTTCATTTATGAAAATGTTACTGTAGTACGCACCTGACGAAATAAGCGAAATATGCCAGGACAATAAATCGTGCAATCTACAGTTTGTCTTCTTGTTTCACGTTTCAATGGTTTTTTTTTTTTTTTTTTTTTTTGTTTAAACAAAGATTGGATTTTTTATTTTATATTTGTTGCGTTCACATTCTCATTATCTTTTTCTCATCTTTTGAACACCCCTTTTGGATTATTTCTCAACACAATTCAACTGTGATGTCGCCAAGACAGAAAAACAAGTCCTGCAGGTGGAATTGTAAAAAATTTAGTCGGACTCTACACTTAGGCAAAATACTTGGTGGGGATAGCTGGTTTCTTTCATACCTTTCTGAAAATTTAAAAAAAAAAAAAAACTGCAGAGAAATTGCCACATGAATTACGGTAATGTTCAGTTTCTCTATATGTGTGAACAGTTTTTTTTTTCTTCACGAAATCAACATAAACCTCTCAGAGAACAAGGTTGACTGATCAACACTCGTCGCAGCTCATCAAAGTCGGAACTGGATAGACAGTTAAGATGGGCATAGCAAAAATTACCATTGAAAAGGATGTTTCAAGTCTTATGACAAAATACTTAAAAAAAAAAAAAAAAAAAACGTTGTTAATTAATGTTAATTTTGAAATGTAATTTTTGCACAATGCATTCTGTTGCTGTTGCATATAAGTCTATGGTGCCATTTAAAATGTGTGTGTGTGTGTTTTTTTTTTTTTGTTCAGCTACTTCATTACTTTGCATTTATGAACGTGGATAGCTATCTGTATGCACACTGTATCGTATTTCTAAATATAAGTAATTAAAAGAGTAATTTTTATTGAATGACTTCAAATATGCAGGATTTTTTTTATACTGTTAACATATAAGTGTAATGTATTTTAAGTGCATTTTTTCTCCACATAATTATGATAATCAGACTGGGATGC